AAGTATCCACTTTGTGAGACCAATATGAGGTTGGCGTCCAAATAGCCACTCCAAATGAGGACTTTAATTGCGCGAAAAGAAGGGTGCCACTTTTATACTGTGACACATTGACCAATCAGGATATTCATAGAGTATCATACGACACTGAGTAAATATGCCATTGGCCAGTTAGATACTGTAGCATTACTCATCTATGTAAGTAGACAGTGGCTGTAGATACCAGAGGTCCTAGACCCAGTATATGGGGTCTTTACCCACATGTATATATACCAGGTAGCTACACCACAATCTAAAGTGACTTCTCCACTGAGAGACTCGACCCCTTCATTGGGAGTCTTGTAGCCTTGCCCACTAAGTCCTCACCTTGCTGTGTGTCCCTGCGCATGCTGCACTAGCATGTAGCTCAGTCATTTGTCACTGACAGCATCCTGACTCTCCTTTGAGACCAGGTCGCTGGAGATGCCAGGTGCAAGTGCCGCTCGTTCTGTAAATGATGGTGTAAATGGTAAGATAACGGTGCCTGACGGACCTTACCAGCGCAGTTGCCCATACTTGAAAGGGAGAAGACCTCTCGACGTCTCTCCCGGGTAGGAATTCTTCGCTGCTCGACTCTCCGTCACGTCTCAGGAAGCCAAACCTGGGCATGTTTGACAGATATAGGTCCACACAGTTGCGGTGTGGACCAGGCTGTCTGGAAACGGTATCACAGCCTAGCGTAGAGAAACATACATGGTGAATTGCCGTGAATCTATTATTGTCTATTCCATCAAGTAAAGTACTCAGATTATACGTCTGAGGAACGCTTTTTGAAGTCTAGTACGCGCTACGTCATATGGTTCATGTATTGTCAAAGCATTTCGATCTCGGTCTACGAAGGATTTCAAGCTTACCTGAGTCTGTTCGAGATGGCGATTGTGAAATATGAAAGAATCAAAGATGGAATATGCTGCTCCTTATCCGAACAGAATGGTAGCAAGCTGGGTCAAATATCGAGCACGTAAATGTGCGCTGTTTGCATCTTTGTGCATGTCCTCAACCTCCTCTGCTGTCAGCCTATATGCGCCGCACCCAAAGCAGGCCAGCTCACCATCACTAAGATGTCATTGGGACTTGAGCATGCAGACACGTCCTCGTCGCCTAAAGGGTTTGAAGTTCCGCGCACACTAACTCGGACAGTCAGGGGCCCACTGCCAGTCTGCTCACCCGATATGCTCTTTCTGCATACACTGGGACCCTGGACAACATACAGTACCTGCAGTGATTCCAAGTGGTCTTTCCAGATCCAGGTAGAACTGTGCAGGTATTTAAGGGGTAGCTAGTGTGTGAGGAATGATGTGGTGTGGAACAAGGCGAGGACTCATCCTGAGGCTGGGATATTATGATCACATGATTGCCGCGTCACTGGCCATATGCCCCATAAAATTGGCCCAGGTTCCCAAGACGTCATGTCCTCTCCGAACAGCTGCAACGAGTTTGACTTTGACGTTTCTGCACCTCCTAAAAAGCACGACGACTAGCATGGTACAGACGTGATGCCAACAGAAAGTGAACTCGAGCATCAAGACATATCATCAGATGCTGGCCACTTCGAAGACAACCTGGATGATGCAGAGGAGACCTCGCAAGAAGCAGTGGCCGCAGAAGAGGAGAACTTTGGGTATATATTATCCTCAGAAGAGTGGTCAGACTGGGGCAGTGGTGAAGAGGCAGATAAGGACAACTGAGATGATATTGTTCAAGGAGCTGAGGGGGGGATATGGACCCCGAAGATGGTGAGGATGGCATCAAGGACCAAATTGGAGCACATGGATTTGCACCATTGTAAAGAATCGTATTTTTATTTTTTTTGGTCTTTGCTTCATAGGCGTGAGTTCCGAGGCAATCTTGAGCTCGATTGAATAGACTTGAAATTGGCTCGCATGAATGTTGCTCTGGGGAAGAACCAGCTTGAAGTAAATTAGCCGCCCTTGTAATCTATCTGGTGTGGAGATTGCAATCCTATGTGATTCTTGAATTGGATCGGCGCAGATTGCTTAGGAAAATAAGAATTACACGGTTTACAATTGTGAAAGACAGTTTACAAGGATTTATAACATGTTATAGTACATGATAATCCGCCCCAATATGCTCAAAGGTTTCCAAGAACCTTAAAATCTACTTTAATGTTTTTGCACTTTTGCCGATGTCTTTGACCCAACTCTGACAATTCCAATGCAGATCATTGTGGACGTTAGGGACTTTGGCCATATCTTTGAGCAGTTTCTCGATTGCGCCAATATCCTTGTCTGTGCTCAGAACACTTCCAACGGCCACGCGGCCAATATAAGCCTTCGAATGTGCCAAGCTTGCCTTTCCCTTGCTTGAGAACACATAATTCTCGGTTGTGCCTTTTATATCGAATATGGTGCCTTCATGCTTCAGAGTATCCTTTTCGATGAAAATTGACCAGTGGTTGGGAGTACCATCCATCGAGGCATATTGTATGACATATGCGCCTACGTATGACATCTCTGTAAAGGTGTCTATGTCAGACGTCTCCAGCTGGACTAGATGAGGGCCTCGATTGCATACCAAGTGAATGCGTCTGAAACCTGATGAAATTGTCTTTTGCTAGTAGCAAGCGTTCGACACAAGATATTACTAGCTATTCCTACTATCAGCTTCCGCGGATGTAGACAGGATGGGTGAACTGACGGTAAGTGATGATTGTTTGGAGGAAGACCGTCAGGGAAATCAGAGTTGCGTTCAGTGTAGGACATAGGGGTGCAACATACTGAGTATATATACACATTGGAGTGACACCTCGACTCGTGCATGAATTTGGTCCTGATCGATGAGATAACTGTTGAGTTTCCCAGCCAGCCCACTGCACGACCAGGAGTTCGGGAGTCGCCCGCTCTCTAGAAGATGGCTCCACGGGGCCAAACTGATGGCCCATCCCATTGTAGCCGTGCTCTATTATATACAAGCACACTACTACTCTCCCACGCCAGTGGCGCAGGCCGCACCGGGGCCTCTCACATCTGTGCTCTGCACCCAGATTTCAACACGCCCCCTCGACCTAGCCACTGCTGCGTCAATCCCATTGTGAGCCACATGCCTGTACCGCACTCCCTGTCCCCAGGGATGCCGGTCTCTGTTCCATGTGCTTCCCTGCCCGCCTCGGTCCGTACGCCAGTCCCGGCGCCCCCTGATCTTGGGTCCCAGTCTCCGTACCATATGCATCCCGTACGTGCTCATTTTCGGTGACTTCCTATAGTGCCCCCATGCGCTCATCGCTCGCTCGGTCTGCACGCCAGTCCTGACGCCCCTTGGATTCGGGTCTCGATCTCCGTTCCATGCGTGCTCCGTGCAAGCGCCTCACTCGGCTTTTCTTCGGCGCTCCACGTGCTGTGGCTGTGCCGCTTCATCGGACTGCCAGCCTGTCTCGCTCGGCATCTGCTCGGCCTGCCCTTTGACGCCCTGCTCCACCCTCGCCTCGCTGGTAGGCCCACCTCACGCAGTGCCCGCCCCCTGCGCCTGGTGTCTTGTATCACCGCAGTGACGCCCCGCGGTCAACGCTCTGACCCTCACCCTCCTGCCCTCAACCTCCTGATCCCACCTCTGCCTGGTCGCACCTGTCCCTCAGCTGCCCTGCAGCCTTCACACCTCGATGACCTGCCCCAGCTCCCAGCCCTTGACCTGTCAACTGGATCACTCACCAGCCAGGATCCTGGTCCCCCAGCAGGAGCCTCGTAGTTGGTGGTTTCACATCGATTGTGGTGAGTGCCCCTTGGTCAATGGTCATCAGTTTGTGTTGAGTTTCCCGGCCAGCCCACTGTGCAGCCAGGAATTCGGGAGTCATCCACTCTCTAGAAGATGGCTCCACGGGGCCAAACCAATGGCCCGTCCCATTGTAGCTGCGCTCTATTATATACACGCATGCTACTACTCTCCCACGTCGGTGGCGCAGGTCGCACCGGGGCCTCTCACATCTGTGCTCTGCGCCCAGATCCCAACAATAACCTCAAAACCTGCGGAATTCCCTTCTGGCCATAATTGAAGTCCCCGTTTTAGAAGAACAATATGCATTTCAGGTTGGCAATATTGATACACTGATCATTCCGGCGCATCGGAGAGCTCACGAGATCACAGCAGTTTGTACTAATGTATTGAAAGAAAGTGAGCCATCCGCGCACCTGGAACAAGATTCAGTGCAATTAGGCTGGGCACAACAAAAGAGAGGCCTGACATGGAACAATGCACTACAAAATCCACGTGGAATCACGAAGCCTTCGAGCGCTGTAATCGGTCTTCGATACTCGCGTGATACCTTATTCTACCACCTCATGCTTCTTGCGGGGTTTCATTGGAGAGATGGAAGCCACAAACGACTGTAGACCATTGCACAGAACAACCATTTTGGTCTTTCACAATCAACGTCAGTTACTCGACAACAGCGGAAGCAAAAAGAATGAATAAAGTAAGGCTCCAACTATTTATACTATTTACACTCCTGAGGTGTAAATAAATAGTATATAGTAAACAGTTATCTATATGTCATATAAACAGTTTATATAAAGTTTACATAGTTTTTTTGGTCCCATCTTTTGATGGAGTTTTACTCAACTGTGAGCAGCCTCTGTGATTGTTGAGGCCTTTAAGGACCTGTTTGCATCAGCAAGCACATGACAGTGAGCAGAAAACAAGCATTCAATGTCAACACTTGCACCAGAAATGACCAGAAAATCTTATGTCATACAAGAAATGACAAGAAACTCATGTTCATGAGCCTGTATGTTGATAAATTGTTAGTGGTGACTGCTGTTAAACACTATGACTTTCAATTGGCTCACTGTTGTGCTGTCAAATCTAGCAATTGTGCACTCAATAGCCCTATATCATCATAAAACTATTTATACTATATATATACATCTATTTACTATGTACAGGCCCAACTGTAAATAAACAGATATAGTAAACAGTTAAAACTATGTAACATAGTAAATAGATAGAAATGTTGGAGCCTTAGAATAAAGTATGCCATCACTGTTGCACGCAATGCAAGTATCGAACCCTGAGGACAAGGGTCCAAAGACAACTTCCGTGTTCTGCGCTTCTGAGCGATAATCATCTTGCATTGAGCTTCTATACCACTAAAAGCACCATGTATGTCAGACTCTCAGCCATTGAAACGATCTGCTAGGCATCATGTCGGTGAATGCTCACTTGTTTCGGAATCACTGGATGACGGGACGAAGAAGCTCTAGGCCTCAGCGTGTTGCAATCCATAGCTGCAGAAGCTCAAACAATCTGAGGCTCAAAACTTTGAAGTAGAAGGCGATTGAAGGCGTACACGGAAATATGGCCTGGGAGCGCGGGAAATACCTGCGCCGTCCAGTGCAGCGCCGCTAATTGTTCATTTTGCCAAGCATTAATGGTTGTTGACAGTCGATCACGTCCACCTCCGTAATGTGAGGTCGTGTTAGGTCCCTTACCGAAAGGCACAGGCTGCTGAGCAAACAGTTGTATACAAGACGTGCGCTAGTACGAGCATTTGCTTTACGCCGCGATGACAGTTCCGCCGGTAGAATGCATACCAGAGTCTTGGTTGCAACTGTGGCGTCCCTGCTTCAGTGTCATCTCTGTCGAGACTAGCATTTGAACATTCTGAACTGTGAGGATACCACCTGAAGTTGTTCGATCAGACTTTTCAGTAATATTAATCGCATTCAGTGCTGCTTCCCCAACCATCCAGATTTAATCGATCACCTCTTCCAGCCGTACGTTATTTACATAGTTCTGTGCCCTCAGCCTGATACTGATCTCCATGCACTTCCGGCTGTGGACAGATTTGTGGCCATGCCCGCGACTGAGAAGCGCATCAGCTCGACGCCACAGACTGAGGCAATACTTGATCCCGGTACATACCTTCATGAAGTTGGAACAGGATGGACAAAATTTATATCTTGATTAACACTTCTCCAGGTCTTCCCCTGCTCGAGGCAAACCGAGCGATGATTGAGAGCATCGAGCGCACTACGCACACTTACGGGGCGACTCCCGCTCATCAGGTATGCTCGATATTGGTGATTGTCATTTTGCGCTGAGACACCTCCACAGTTGGATGTGTACATGCCTCCGCTTCCGAACAATATCGCAGCCTCATCGGCATCCTTGATTAAACCCCCGATCCTAGTCTTCTTTTACGGTGGCAGCTTCATCCACGGTTCGCGCAGTTTGCCGCCTCTGCACCTTGCGTATGCCAATGTTGGGGCCTATTTCTCCTCAAGAGGGATCGTGACTGTCATTCCGGATTACCGCCTCGTTCCTGACGCGGTATATTCGGAAGGGTCGCAAGACGTTCACGACGCCTTGCTGTGGGTTCACGAACATTTGTGCGGGCAGGCCGACACATCCCGCATGTTTGTCCTCGCGCATTCAGCTGGCGGCATACACGCAGCGACCATGCTCTTGACCGAGTCCATGTTCACGCCTCCTCTTTCTGAATCGATTCGAGGCGTGATGCTGCTCGGAGTGCCATTTGAAATCCAGAATGGCAAGATGGCAGAGCTGTGGAAAGTTGCGCAAGCATACTATGGCTCTACTCAGAAGATTGCGAAAAACCAGCCGCTAGGCTTGCTACGAGGCGCCGAAGCGCAGCATATCGGGCTGATTCCTCCACTACGCGTTGCGCTGGCTGGCAGTGAGCCCCGCGCCATATCAAGCGCCAGCCGAAACTTCGCCGAACTGTACACGCGGAAGGGCGGGATTGTCGAGACTGTCACGCTAGACGGACACGATCATCTCAGTCCCATTCTCGCCCTGAGTTCGGGCAGCGGTGAAGAATGGGGGGAGGATCTCGTTACGTGGATCTGGTCCGTTACTACAGGTCAGCAGAAGGATTCTTGAGATACACAGCTATATGAGTCCCCATGCGGAAATGTCTCCAAATATCAGCATGTAGCATAGTATTTGAACACTGCGTATACGAACTTGATGGTCTCAGTTCAGTTATCATCGCATGAAGTGCGATGCTTGTCGGCAATGATCCTCAGACTGATCTCGTGAAAAATGTCCCAAAATTGAATTCAACAGAGCAGAGTGGATCCAATGGCAGCTGAGATAGCATCTATTCTGCCGAAGCGCGTTGAATCGGTTGCATCCATGGACGTGTGTCGCAGGCAACGGCATATGAGATGTCCCCACTTCAAGGAAGCAGTGTTAGGAGGCAAGACAAGGCAACAACTTTGTCGCGACGTGCAAGATATAAAGTGTGAGTGGGAAGTACAGTGGGTGACGAAAGTTCGCATTTGTGAAGAGATAGCGACACTACAGGGCCAGCGAGCATATGGCTAGGAGATAGATGGAAAGCCGGACAAAACAAATGGGATCCGCATCTAAGTTAGAGGTACGGGACTCGAGACCTTAGAGCTTGATAGTGTCCGCATCAATACGGCTCTCCCGCCATTCGCTGTAATTCATCATCCAACGTCTTCTCCTCTTCATATGGCTGAAGCACTTCTTGCACAAATTTCACCCAACCAGCATTTTGGCCCATGCAATTAAGGCATTTGACGTACTCCCAATACTCGGGTCGCCATCCCGCCATCTCCCAATCGATGATAGCGGCGACATGAGCCTCTCCATCGTTGCTGATATCAACCAGCACATTCTCGGGATGGAGGTCGGAGTGGGTGAAAACGATACGAAAGTCGTCGCGGAGTCGCGTCCGAATGTTGTCCACACGATCGATTGTAGGCTGGTGAGCAGCGGAGACTCCTAGCTCACGCACCATGGAGATGCGCCAATCGTGATACTCTCTGATGTCCGCGAACGGCCCGATATCCTCAACGTCTAGGCGGTCGTCGCGAAAGGCGCCTCCGAGCAGCGAGCACACTGCCCCGGAATGTGGACTGGGGAGGGAACGGATTTCCTGCAGATACTTCCCGAGCTCACGAGCTAGCATATTTCGCTGGGAATCCGTCAAGCTGGGAAGGACATCCTCAAGAACCCGGCCATGGACCCGCTGCATGAGAATATAATACGTGCCAGTCGCATCGGACCAGGCGTCGCGTATGGCAGGTATAGGAACAGACGTGTGGCTTGAAACGAAGTCCATGACGCGCGCCTCAAGAAGATCAACGTTCACTATAGGAGCTTCAGCGCAAGGCGATTGCATCAGTAGACGATGTGAAGACATCTGGGAGACCGCACGGCCGCGACCGTAACACAGGTAATTTGCAACCACTCCACCTATTCCGCGATGTTGAACAATTCTTAGGCTCGCATATCAGCTTTTGTAGAGGAAAACATTCATTATTGTTTGTCGGTGCAGGCATGAGCAGCAACCCCATCTACTAGCCCGGAGTCCTTCCCATTCTGAAATTCACACAGTCGGATAGAATCTCAAAGATTCCACAACCAGGATGCATCACTTGACAGCAGCCATTGTTGTTCTTGAGAGTGAGATAAGGTCAGAAGGAGCGCGTGACAATTATCCTCATCGATCTCCTGCGCTTGACTCCATCATCAATATTTGCTTCTGTTCACTCCACAATCTGCGCAGGCCTGTCGAGGAGCCGGAGCAACAAATTCAGGAAAATATAACACTAGTTCGTCGTCACTTGTGTGTCCATTCAATAATCAACGCTTACTTATCGTCAATGATAGGGGGTCGGCGTAGATGGAATGTTGCCAGCTTGTCCCCATTCCGCCTACGGGCGCGCTAAATCCTACGGGCTGATTGGCAAAACTTAATTTTAATTCACTTCTGCATCGCAGACAAGTGGCCGGCGGACTTCTGAAGGTCCTGCACTTGCCTGATCTCCACATAGACCACCGCATAGACTACCGCGAGGTTGCTACTGGTAACTTTGCAACAGTCGGTGGCGTGTGCTGAGCGACGGCTTGCAGGACATTTCATCGCCTCAGAGACGAAGTGCTGCCAATCTCTCTGCTGAAGAGCTGGGGCCTATAACGAGGACACTGTGAACCAGACGCTAGTACCCGTGCCGTAATATGGGTCATTCATCTGATGTATACAATACCTTTCCCTCCATGACTGCTAGGGCTTTTGCTACGCTGAAAACCGGCTAGCACGCAAGGCTTCAAGCTACAAGTCTATGAGGTCGATTCTGGGGTCAGGCCGCTCCTCATATGCTGTATAGTACCGATCGCACTGGTGAACCCTTGCACGCCTTCTATAAAACGCCGACTGTTGACCGATGCGAACGTTTAACACTTATCAATTGAAGAGGTAGCTGCATTTCTGAAAAGATCTGCTCCGTCCATCGTGGCAGTGCAAGTCCCTTCATTCAAATCGTGCTAGATAATGAACAATTACTTCCCATGTCCTCATCGATACCGAATTTTTGGACGACATCTCTGAGATGTACATACTTAGACACATGCGAATGCCTCTGGAGTCGTCGGATCACCGCCAATGTATCGTAGGCTCAGGGGGTACTATGGTCAGACAATCAGACGATGATTACACGGAATGAACGAACAGATCACGTACTTGGCAAAGTGGACGTATGAACCCTATTCCGTTCTCGACATTGTTATCGTTATAGTATACAGCCGAGAGAGACGAAGGTGCCACGTCTTCTTCTACCCATTGCACCAGCGCCGAGAGGATGTTATACTCAGGGTTGTTGGAAAGAGGTGGCATCCCGCCTGCAGCCTGCGACACAGCTCCGAACGCGTTCGCGCCATATCCGCCCTGCGTATAAGCAGTTACTAAGTCATGCAGGAATCTAGTTTTATTGAAAAGGTCCTCACGTCACTAACACCAATTGAAGCTATATGAACAGCGTGTAGCGAGCAACGACGCAGACTCACCAATGGTTCATCCCGGGAATAGTGAATAGGCGGTAGTAATCGTCGATATCCATCTCAGTGTACGCTTGTGTGAAGGCGTGTACCGTCTCGTAGTAATGAAGCGAGTTTCCAGGACTGATCAACTGGTCCGCCCAGCCGACGTAATGTATTACTTTCCCGTTGTGCCCCGACCCTGCGAAAGCAGTGAGATTGGGATTGATTGCCTTGTTGATTTAATTGTTGATTTAATTAGAGCTTGTATTCATATTCAAAGATGCACCGCTTACATTTGCCTGACCAGGGTCGATTTCATCTGCCAACTCTACATTTGATACGTCGTAGTCGTTGATAGTCCACTCGGTGTCACTGATACAAAAAAACGTTGAATATGTCCGCGTACCCGGCAGAAAAAGAAAAGCCTTACTTGACGACGAAGTACTGGAACCAGTCTACGTTTAGCTGGAGCGGTTCGGAGGTATAAACGCCTTCAGCATATGCGACCTCGCCACCCGGATAGTAGGGGCCGAAAATCCAGGTCTGATTGGTCTCGTAGTAATCTGCATACATCTTGTGTAGCGCTTCAATCTGTAGAATTGTCAGACAAGTAGACGTGTTTTGCCCTGGATGGCATGTGAGCGTCTCTGGCCGGAAACTGAAAAGCAGGTCAACACAATCGCACATGGACAGTAGAATGAGTCTTACAGGCAGTATCTGGGATCATTGATGATCCCGTCGACGAGCTATGAGGTGCAAATTACATCATTAAGCAAGTGGCTGAAGCAATACATGGGCAGCTGCTTACCCCATCAATCGCATCGCACTGTCTCAGAACCTCGGGATAAATGACATCTATCCAGAGCGAAGGTCCAACGAAGTGAGAGGAGTTGTCCGGTAGCATATCCAGGCACATTTTGATACTCCAATCGGCAAGATGAGTCATCCAGTTCGCCGGAGACCCGACAATCTTTACGCTACCGTGGTCAATGGGAACCGTTGTCAAACAATGAGCAGACTCACGGCACCATCAAAGTCATCAGGGAACATTTGCACTTCTTTAAGTCTGTAATGAATAGACTATGAGTGGGTGATCGCGCAGTGCTCTGTACACGTACCCTTGCCGTCCTCCTGGATTTACATCGTGAAAATTGTAAAGCTGCGGGATTAAAATAGCTGTGAGATATTGTTACCTGTAGAGCAACCCATATAGTACGAGTAGCTTTGCGCTTTGCCATAGTACTGCTGCACGATCTCCTTCCCAGCGGCGACACTAAGATGTAGAGCCCGCCAGCCAAAGTCGACAATAGCATTCTAAAACGTCCTCAGTGACAAGCTGAATACAAATAGATACCACTGACGTCGTTATGCGGCCCTGCCCACGTCCCGTCAATCCAAGAACTACTGTGTCCGGTATCCGTAGATACGCTTGCATCTGCGTTGCATATACTTCTTAGCACAGAAGCAACTCCTGGTCCGAAGGTCGCAACTCACAGCCTTGAGCAACGGCGATAGTACCCATATCTGCAACAGCGGCTGTTGTATCCCGTCAGCGATGTACCAATCTCAAGCTTGTTCCATGGCTGCTCACCTCCACCAGCAAGTCCTCCATTACCTACGGCCAAGTATCGACCATTCCACTCATCCGGGAGCCATACCTCGGTGTTGCAGGACGAACCAGCGGTCGCGTTCGTAGTAATATTGACTTGGACGCGACAGAAGCCAGGGAGGTTGTCGACATCAATGCTCGAATACAAGTTTGTGACATTGACCGTGGTGTTTGCAGCATAGTATGTTGTAGCAACAAGTGAGACACCGTCGATGTCAGTTGGGCTAAACGACGAGCAGGCGGATTGCCAGGCCAGACCGGGCAATGCGTTGATTACCACATAAAGGGCAGCGAGCAAGCGTATCCAGATCGTGAATTGATGTGAGACGAGCATGTCTGAGGAGCCCTACAGCTGTCTGAGACACACACATCGATTTGTTTTAAGTACCCCATCGACGGACATCGCAAAATGTTCGTCCCGACTGTTCAAGCGCAGACCATATTGATCGATTTCTTCACAAAAGACTGGAACATTCTGCGAAACCACAGGACAATGCTTCGTGACGCATACTATTTCTTGCGGCGGTCATGAGCGTGGAGAGAATGACTGCGCAGAAACGGGGATTGAGCGAACCGCGGGTGCAATGTGCAGATTCACACCACAGCATAAGCAAACAGTCATGTGAGTACATTCTCTGACAATGTTCCTATGACATCCAGCTTCGAAGTTGCCTAGGACTCGCAGCGGCTGCCGTCAGCGTTCTAGCTGGACTTATATAATTAGCTACAGCTCATCCGCAAGTTCGATCATCGATGGACTCGAGCTCACATCTTGTGCGACGTATGCTGATGCGCTTACACCAGACATCTTGTCCAGACCTGGTGACTGCAGCGCAGTCCGAGCTTGAACATTTTTTAGAAAACGCAGAAGAGCTGTCAGGATGGCCGAGTACAGTGCTGCGTCACAGTAGAATCTGATCGAGAAATTGCCACGATCATCGTTGTCCGGTGATCGGGTAGGGTTACGTGCAGGGTTACATGTTACAGCCGCGGACGGTCGTGCCATAACTTCGCGCGTTAACTTCGCGCGTGCGATGCCGTGAGTTAGGCTCATGAATCATTAATCAGCCTTCGTAACAGGAAGACAGTCGCTCCTTATACTCAATGCATCCCCAGCTTGGCTGGATATGACCCTGCAGCTTCAATTGGAGCTTCCCCTCAGGCTTTGCAGTTACGACGTGGACAGATACGTGCCAGTTTCTGCGCTCAATGGTTTGGAGCGTTCAAATTCGCTGGATTCAATACAGTGTGTCACCACAATAGTGCAGCGGCAGACTCTACAGGAACATCTCGGAGAGGCGAAAAATCGTAGTAACTTAGTAGTAAGTTGCACCTTCCGAGTCTCCCGATGTTGAAATGTGCGTTTCACAGAATTTTGACCGTGGCGTTGAGCCAATTGCAGTCACGGTTCGGGTCGGTTTCCAGTTGATTATCTCTAAACTGTCCTGCGGTTTCAAATGTGCGAGGTAACCTTTGGCAGAATTTGCTGCTCATGTCGATGTATGCCATTCAGAGGAGCTCATACAAGATGAAAACCAAGAGCACGGTATATCTAACTTTCCGATAACAATACAACGTTTCACCTGTACATCACGCAGCGATGGAACTGCGAGAATGTCGTAACCGGGAAATGTTACTTAGAAGCTATCAAAGTCGCTTTGAGAGCCACATGAGGCCAGAAACAGCATATCATTTACCTTTAAATACTACTCATCGTCCTCTTCAGCACCGTCTCTATAGATGCCGCTGAAGCTTGCGCCGGTCTCTTCGACTCGAGGGGCCAGAGCAGCCACTTCACGACAGGAGGACAGTCGGTCATTACTTGCGTATCATCGGTAGTTAACAATTGCTTACCGTCGACGACAGGGGTCGGTGTGGCTGAGGATACTTGCAGCAAACACACCAGCGCGAATATGAAGAGTGTGGAGGTGAACTTCATGGTAGAGTGTAGCCGTCGTGTGCTGACATGAACTTTGCCAGGTTATGGCTTTATATCTGCAGCAATTGTCCGGAAGTGCTATATTGAGCTCCCACTGTCCCGTCAGTACGAGCGCAATGGGACATGCAGAGCGTATGACTCCTAGCATCCAAAGATAAAGCAGACTCCGATATCACGGATCACAGTCGCGCTCAACTCTAGTTTCTAGGGCAGCAACATCTCCTCGTAAGTCTTTCATTTTGAAATTGAACTCCCGGCATGCCTTCTTCATTCCGATACTTAAAAAACCTCTAATATAAGCCACACTCTGATGACTCAAATGTAGGTTATGCACAACGTATGCCTCATTCATCGGTCAACTGACCGCACCGGCTGACAGAAGTGACTTCGTCAAAATTAGTGCTGATTGGGAACATCGAGCGATATGGCTTTACTTTCTTCCTCATGACGACAAACATCTGCAAAACCATCGCGCATTTCCAGACGAGGCCGTTGGTCGCGCTCAACTCTACTTTCTAATGCAGCAACATCTCCTTTAATTTTGAAATTGAACTCCCGGCATGCCGTCTTCATTCCTATAATTGAACAACTTCTAATATAAGCCACACTAGCCTGATGAGTCAAACGTAGTTTTTGCACAAGGTATGCCTCATTCATTGGTCAACTGACTGCACCGGCTGACAGAAGTGACTTCGTCAAAATTAGTGCTGATTGGGAACATCGAGCGATATGGCTTTACTTCATCCTCATGGCGGCAAGCGTCCGCAAAACCAACACGAACTGCCAGACCAGGCCATTGACTTACGTTACTAATGTCCACGCAAGCATCAGAACGGTGGGCAATTGGTCACTGGTTGTCAATTCATTCGTACCCGCAGAAATCTTAGCTCCGGCTATGCACCGCCTACGGCGAGGAAATATCCTCCATCCCAATCAGAGAGAGACGCCGCAAGCCTTGCGAATGACATTCCCCAGCCACTCAGAATCGTTGATCTCCCATACGATCCTGTCTCCAGCGCGGACCAGCTTTCCCCAACGCAGCCCATCTACGCCATCGCCCGCGTTTTGCGTAACAAAGAAAAGAATGGTACTCTCACCGACGCCATTAAGAAGCAGAGCATGTCTACCTTCGTCATCTTGCTCCCAGGGACATCGGAGCCACCGAGAGGTCCGGGACCGAATAGAACAGTTTGCAATTGCTCGATGTTTGCATGCTGCATTGACCAACTGTTGTCCATGACCGTGTCGTCGTCCTAGTCTTTCCATCCGAGCGAAAACATTGCACGCCATCCGTTCCGTCCGGCTTTCGGACGCGAGAGTTCCGAATGAATACGATAGATCACGTTGAAATCGTATTCCGTGCGAAACATGCTCGAAGCGCGATGGTACGACAGGTGCATGTCAATCGCTGCCGGTGTCGATGGAGAGTAAATGCGTGTCAAGATTTCCGCGTCGCCGTGCAACACGCACTAGGTGATGTGGGGAGCGGGCAAGGCCATATTGTGCATACTTAGCATGCGAGAGGGTTCTCACCATGTCCATGTCGTCCTCCAGATTTACATATAGCGGAACGACACCATCTGCAACAGCACTCTGTTCAGTGGGCGACAGACCGGTGGTTTCGAGTGCAGCTTCGATGCCTGCACGAATCTGCACGAGGAGGGGGTCGAGGGGAATGCCAGCGTGTTCATCCAGCGCTCGGCGCAAAATCTTCACCGCATGCGTGCGTTGGTGAATATAGACAGACCATGCAGGGGGAGCTCGAGCACGTGGATCAGAAGACGTAGTCGTGGCGGGAGTGAGAACCTTCCATTCGTGCTTCTGTTGGGTTTGAGCGATATAACCTTTAAGAGCGTTAATGGGTACCAGGGTCAATTCTACGGAGTCTCATTCAGAACGACTACCTTCGCAGAATGCAGGTTTTGAACCCACCAACTACGCCACTGCTCGAGTTCACAAACAGCGACTGCTCGCTCATGCGGGTGTTTGGCTCGAGTACGATTCCATTGCTTGCCAGACGCTATGCGTACATTGTTCATCCATCCTCTGTTGACAGTGAGCACGGGTCTTACCCAGTACATAACGGGGATGCACACTTTGTCTTCGATTCTTTTCATTACCAACATCTGCGGCATACAGATGTTGAGAAGTCGCACCATATTTGAACAGCTGGAGGAACACTTACTATGCTGTCAAAGTGGCTCCAGGGTACCTCAAGATAATCACCTCCGTTTTGGTTCGCTGCTTTGATAGCGGTGGTCGCGAACTGGTCATATCCGACAATCCTAACACGAAGAGGAAGTGCTGCTGATAGGGCCGGCCTGTCCTCTTGACGTTCCTCCGAACGCGACGGAGTGGAGCATGGTCGTTGGACACACTAGACTGCAGCGACACGGTCATTGCGAGTGAGGAGAGGGGAGGTCGCCTGACGAAGATGCGTTGCCCATTAAGTTATCTGTACTACAAAATGGAAATGAGGTGAAGGAAGGAGATCGATTCTAAAGTCGTTCCTGTCGTGCGCACCTGTCATCGTAGTGGTGACATCGGGTAACGATTTGACGGTCATTGTCGTAGCCTCGGAGACTCGGAACGCTGGGCATTTATGTATAGGACCGTTCCATAACCTTTGCCAATGCGTAAATACAGGTCGCGCATACATCGCGAATCACAATCAGATGCAGCCTTCTTTCACGTACTAGTCCAATCGTCCTTGGCCTTCATTCGCTCATAAACAGCCTCTTCAGATAGTCCGCCGCTGCCTTGCGCACCTCGTCGCCCACGTCCGCGTTCGCTAGCATCTCCGTAGCGAGCGTGGCCTTCTCCTTCCTGTTCAGCCCATCCTCCTTCTTCCCAACCCTCTCGCTCTGAGCCTGTGCTCTTATCTTCCGTTCCTCCGCCTCGGCGACGAGAAGCTGTGATAATGTCGCACATTGATCCATAAGCGAGTTCGTGACAGCAGTAAAGCGATCCATGGCTTGCATCATCTGAAGATGCATCTGTTCTGTCCGGAGATCAGGCGCGAGACTGGGTGCAACAGTCCTGCGGGTGGAGCTGTGCGGCTGTGAAGCCTTCTGCGGCAGGATGGGCGTCGGAGGCAGCGGCGCGTCGCGTCCAGTCGGATTTGGAGGAATCTGCGAGTCACTTTGGGCAGCGCTGGTGCTGGGGCCGGGATGATTGTTGTGCATAGGGCTCATCAGGGTTTCTTGAACTTGCTGCTCGACATCCTCTTCCTCCTCCTCCTCTTCCTCATCGGCGTTGCTGTTGGTGAGCTGCGGGTCGATAGCAGAAGGAGGGTACAGCATTTGATTCGAAGATCCTTCTGCTGGAAACGACAAACTCGACGGTCCGTAGGAGGGTATGGGAAGTCCTGTTCTAGGGTCTTCTCGAAACCTGACCGCGTGTTGGATTACACGGAACAAGATACGGTTACTCCATTTGACTTACCGGCTCTTGAATAAATTGTACCATCCCTTTTGGTGCCAATGGTCGATCACCTTCATATTCAAATTTGCCACTGGCACACCGGCTCCACGCGCTTCTTCCAGCTTCTGTTCTAGATATGCCTGGCGTGCCATCGTAGGGTCATGAATTCGGTCAGAAAAGGGGGCATTTCCATCCGCAGGGTTGTTCGGGTCCGGAGGTAAGCGAGACAGGTACACCTCAAATGCGAATATCTGTTTGAAAGTCTCGACATTGCGGTGGTAACAACTCTTCAACGCCGTGAAGGACTTTCGGCCACCAAAAATCTGCGCGGATGCCTGCAAAGCAGTCAGTAGACGCGCGCGGGGGCCGCCGCACTGGAAATGCGAACTCACATCGCGGAACACAGTGTTCATCTTCGTACGGAACATGTCCCAATGATTGTCATGAAGCAGGAGCCAATTGAACAAGCTCGTCTTCTCGCTATCCGTCCAGTGCTTTGGACCACCATTCGGCCCTACATCTGGATCATCTCCATTCGGAAGGGACGGTGGACGTCGCTTCCTCGGGGCAGGGTTGTGGCTCCCATCCTCCGTCTCCTTGCGCTTCCCCGCCGCCGCCGGGCTAGTAGATGGTGTGCCAGGCTGACTGCGGCTCTGCGACTGAGAAGGAGGATATATAACCTGAGTGGGCGGGAGGACGTTTGCACCCGAAAGCGAGGAGCTGCCGTAGGGTACGACACTATTAGGATATATGTGCGATGCTTGGTAATTGACTGCAGAGGCGGACTCGTATGGTGTGCTCCTTGATCCCTACCAAACGATCATAATAGTTGTGGGTTCCAGACTCCAGAAGCACACGGAGCAGGTCACGAACCTGGATCACCTCAGCATTGCGGGCTGGATTGACGTGCTGCCCGCTGGCAGAGCCTTGGAATTGGCCGTTGCCATCTCCAACGGTGCTCGACACGTTGGATCCTCTTCATACAGAGTCACTGAGTATGGCGGAAAAAGGGTCTCTGATCAAATGCTACACACATTTGAGCCATGAAGGTCAAACCGGTTCGTTTGGGCTGGCAATTGCAGGTAGCGAACGAACGAGAGACAGGAGAGCGGTTGTTTGAATTGGATCAATCTAGAACTCACGCCGTCGTCGGACCGGACCGGACCAGGTGCATAACCGATTCGCGCGAAGGTGGACCACCGCGACCTCCTATCCCAGAAAGCCGTTCATGAATAACAATCTAAATCCAAGTACATCGTTGCGGCGCAACAGAACCATTCCACACGTAACAGAGGAAAAGCAAAGCGAGAAAAGGCATTTTTGGAATCAACAATTTAACGGACAGCTTCCCAACCGAGAACTACTTCATCGTCCATGACGGGCCTCGATGGATTGAACACGCATACATCACTGTACGAGCGAATAGCACGACCTAGGACTGCTCGACGATAGTTACCGAGTCGGTTGCAGACGGAAAGGCACCGGGGGATCCCGCTCGTTCTGAGACCTAATAGCAGGAAAAAAGGAGAGAAATAATCATGATATCATTACATGCCCGTGATATCCAACTGGCGGTCTTACGATCCGTCCCTCCTTCCACTGGTCGGCGCACCGTTCGGTCGATACATGTATTGATGTGTGGCAGCGACACCACCATGTGATGATGTTGGGCGAGAGTTCGTTGGTGGAGCCCCATATGCCGCAGTGTTCGTAGCACTCGCAGCAGACGCGGCATAAGTGGTGGTGTTCGTGCTGGCAGAAGCAGCGTATGAGGCTGTCTGCGTTGGACGCGGACGATAATAGTTGCTGCGTTGCTCTATCTGTGAGCTGGAGATCACAGGAGAAGGCGTATTCGCAGCAACCGTAGGCATAGGCCATGGCAGATTAGAGGCAGCGGGAGACGAGGTCGTAGTAGTCCGTGAGGGGGCAATCGTAGTCGGTTGCTGCGATGAGGAAGGGGGACGCTGCGGAGGCATCGCAGGAGATGCGTTAGCGGAAGGGATACTTCCGGCGCTTGTCGCGGGGGCCGCTGGAGTAGAAGGCGGTGCAGGTGCAGGTGCAGGTGCAGGTGCAGATGCACCTCCAGTGGCCGTACCTGGGGTTGCAGTAGCGTGGGAAGCTGGGGCGGTGGTGTGTTCATGGTTCTCCCCAGCGCCCGCATCAGTTTCTCGTCGACGCTTTGTTCCTCTGGTAGTGCTCTCCTTAAGACCCATTGAGGTGGCTTTCAGTAGGATCTGATGTCTGCTCATGTCACGTTAGATGTATATATTAGAGTTCTTTGCCTTCCCGTATAATACCTACCTGGTCCTGCTGTTCCCCCACTGCTGCACCACCCAATCCCATTCAATCTCACCCTTATTCTGAGCGCCACCCATCTCTCGACTCTGCTCTGCAAGCCTCCTCAGACGCTCAGTCTCCTCCTCAGACCAGGCACCTGATGTTCCACCGGGAGCCGCCGAACCTGTGACAGCATTGAAGGTCGAGACAGACCCTGTGGTGGGCGTCGAGGAGGGCGTAGGGGTAATCTGAGCGGGTTGGGCCGCAGGCTGCGGAGGCGGGGTATAGTAGGGCTGGGAAGGGTATGAGTAGTATGGAGTGGTAGGATAGCGCGCCGCAGCTGTTGGATACATTGGAGATGCGTAATACGGCTGCGGAGGTGCGTGAGAGGGGGGAGGCATAGAGCCGAGAGACATCACAAATGATTGCGGATTAGTGATTACTGCAGAGGGGTTCGTCGAATTACCCGCAGATGTAGTAGCAGAAGGCGGCGGCGGCATCTGAGGGTACGACGGCATGGAATATACGGGCGGAGGAGGGCTTCCGACCAGCTGACTAGGGTTCGCAAGCTGCAAGGAACGTCAGAATGACACTCACTCCATCATCACGCTCAGCTCACGAGATTGTCGCACACGCGCTTTGCGTCGGCGATCATGGCCAATGGATCGATCTTTGTCGATGGACCCATCTGGTAACACTGCGCGATGACGACGGGCGAAGCGGCTTTCTGCAAGCAATGGGCAGCGTTAGAGAGACAGTGTACAAATAGGGCGTCTGATGCGAAACATACGACAAGCTCTTCTGCAGCATTGTAGAACTCTGAACAAAGGTTCAAAGCACGCCACTGGAACTCATAAAACTGTTGATTTTGCGAGACTGCGCCACTAGGCGCAGGCGGATATTGATAGAACCCTGGATGCTGAGAATTCGCAGGTGCTTTGGTGACAGTCCCTGCAGAAGCTCTTGGTTTACGGTTCCTGGAACCCCTTGGGCGACCTGGTTTGCGTTTGCCGGACTCATCGACATCTGTTGCCGACTGATTCGCCGCATCCTGTGTCGTACCTCCTGGCTTGTTGATGATGGGATTCGTAGTGGTCGCGGCCAGCCTTCGGAGTGAATGTCAGCAACCGACTTCGATACGACGCGTATTCAACCCACCCTGCGGATGGTGCCTGCGATTGAACTGTGGATCGTGGAGATGACTGATTGCTTGCGCGCTGGCGATCCGGGTCATGATGGTCGAGCTCCTCTTCTACGATCTCCTCATCGTCCTCTTCCTCCTCCTCTTCCTCCTCTCGCTGGGTATGGGCTGCGCCATTTGGGACCGTCGATTGAGCGTGAGAAGCATACGAAGCGTATTGTTGCTGCTGAGATTGGTGACTGGAGGGGAGAGGATGGAGAGCGTGAGACAAGGGTTGATAATACTGCGGGTTGTCCATCGTTTATTTTTTCAGGAAATAGATGCAGATGGCGGTACCCTGTAACGCTGGACGAGCTAGGAGGCGAAAACGTCGTTCATGAAGGACAAAGAAATGCCGTGGGAGACTTGCATTCCGCGGGGCTGCAAACCGCCCGTGCCGTCGAGCTCCCGACTGAGGGCAAGGCTCAGCTTCACAAATGGATTATGAGTGAAGTAGCCCTATTCTGGACTTCTACTATGCGCGTCTCAGTGCGTATGGAAGGTTGCGCTGAGTTTTCAGCGACTTCAGACCATTTTCTTCGATTTTACATGCCCATTGCCGGAGGCGAGCAGAGAACGCGGGAAAGTGAAATCTGCGTGACATTAACTGTGACTACATCACAGAATCACGATGTGACAATTGTCGGAACCGTGACTGTGCTGACCTGACTTCGACTTCGTCGCATCTCAGTTCGCAGCCACCGCCTCCTTGACCTGCCACTGACGTCCCTGCAAAACTACTCGGACGTCGCATCGGTAACTTCATTCTGTGGTCGAGAAGGCGACACAATCTGCAGCCTCTTTCTTCTACCCGCGTAATCACCATTTTGAACTTCACTCTCCATGTCAAACTCCGCTTCTGGCAGCCGGAAGGTTGCAGCATATGCTCTTCGCAGTGCAGGTCTCATTGACCGTGATGAACGCATGCACGACGCGTCTGATCGTCCAGGCGGACGGAAAGGCTCCTCCTACAAGAAGACACGTTCATCCCACCGACCCCGCGCTATCGATGCAGTCACTGGCAAAGACCAGCCTGCGTCCTCGTCTCGAACAGCCATGGTAAATGACACGCTTGTTTCCTACTCATACACCCCTAGTGACGGCTAGACCTCGCCACATCCCCGTCGCTTCTCGTCTGTCTGAAATACTGCGCTCACACTGTTCCACGCTCACCTTTCGCGTCTCCCTGTCTACTGAAGCTTGCCTCCCGGCTAGCAGCAGGCGAATCGTTGGCCATCCGTGGTGCAGCGAGGGGAACAGTGGGCCGTCTTCGCAGGAATGCTATCTCAAGTGGTGATGCTACTCTCGTGGAACGCAAGGTCGTCGACCTATGGAGAGAATTTGTGAACCGACGGTGGAATCCCGAAGCAAGGTACCTCAATTTGGAGGTGAGCGTTCTCCGCACTCATACTCAATGAGTCATTGACTGTTGTTCCAGCGAATCGCGGAGGACGAATTTGTGCAGAGGAACCGTTTAATGCCGCCGCAAGCGGTGGGCTCGCCGACAAAGGAGCTCTCGGTCATGTTCAAGCTCGCATCGATGCTCTCGCCTGAGGTATGCTTCCCTTGACACAGACATTTCATCCTCATTCATGTCTCCCAGGTGCAAACAATCTCGCTAGGCTACAATAATCTCACTACGGGCGCGGCGTTTGCCCGTCTATCGCATTACCTGCCGAAACTTGCCAACCTCTCGCTGCAAGGCAACAAGCTATCTGCGTGGAGAGACATTGATTATATTTCAGGGAAGAGGGGCCGTTTGACGAAGCTGCGCGAGCTGATCTTGATCGACAACCCACTGCGAGAGGTGGAATACAAAAACAATCGGGTTGATCGTTATAAGAGGTATCGCTATTGAAGCTCTCTGGATACATTTTGTTGACGAATTGCACTAGCGAGATTACCCGCCGATTCCCTACACTAGAGATGCTGGACATGGAGCCGATCCCGAAAATTGCCTTCGACGCGCCGCAGACATCGACGTCCTCTTCCTCGCAAGTTCAGAAACCCACAGCAACGACGTTCCCGGCCGAGATGCAGCCGTCCTTCATCACAGGAGTCGATAGCTCTATCGTCAGCAATTTCCTCATGAGGTGGGTTCTAACACCACTACCGAGCTATCGATCACTGATGAGCGGATCTCAGATATTTCCCACTATTTGATAACCAACGTGCGGCGCTGATGGATGTGTACCATCCAAGTGCCACATTCTCTTTCTCCGCGAATACGACGATACCCGCTCGCGCGAAGATTGAAGGTTATCACCATTCGAAGGACATGCCAAATCAAAGGAAGCTCGAATGGACTCCTTGGTTGCAAGGTGGCCTCGGTGGTTCGCGCAACTTGAATCGGATGGGTGGCAGCCTCAGTAAAACTACGAAGTCGCTTCATGTTGGCAATGAACGAGCAGTCAAAGCAATGGCCGATTTGCCTATTACCAAGCATGATGTTGCCGGGGCTCCAGAGAAATTTTGCCTGGATGCGTGGCCTGTGCAGGCAGGAGATTCTACGCAGCTATTCGTCACTGTGCATGGCCAGTTTGAGGAAGGTACGTTCTCGCTAGCCACTCACACCGTGATGCTCGCCAATGCGGCTTCTTGCAGAACCATCACACGGAATTCGTTCATTTGATCGCTCCTTCATTCTGGCTCCTGCTCCAGAGGGGTCTCGGTGAGTTGTTTTTGCCTAGCACCGCGGATGCTTAATTCATTCTGCGGTCCTCTCACGTGTGTTCAGAGCAAAGCAGAGCGGTTGGGACGTGCTCATACTCTCCGATCAGCTCGTCGTACGAGCATATTCAAGCCACGAAGCTTGGCGACCCGGTCCGATGCGCATGCAAGCTGAGGATCCGTTACCGGCTGCATCCCACAGTGCGACTTCGGAACAGCCGCAGATCCCACCGCATCTTCAGGAAGCGCTAGCGGCAATGGTGAGTGTTTCGCGCTTGATAGCGAGGTTGTTGCCTGAGTGACCACGAATCGATTCTGATAACGTATCCATAGCCGGAACCTCAACGGTCATTGGTGCTGCAGATATGCCAGCGCACAGGTCTCAACGTCAGTTTTGCCGTGCAGTGTCTAGAAGGCAACGGGTGGGATATGGAGCGCGCCGTGACAAACTTCGAGCAGGTGAAGGTACGCGCGTGGTTTAGCCTTCGACTCAGCGAGTGGCTGATCTCCTGATCCCCATCTTCGATCTTGACCTAATAGGGCACGCTATCCCGAGATGCGTTCATGTAACCGCTTTGCCGGGGCCGCTTGCATCCAGCATGCCGTACGGACCAATAGAAGCGATGTCACCAGCCATCAGCTGGGTTGGATCATGTAGCAGCGTCTGTGATTTGGACCAGGTTCAGAGGCACAGCCTTCCGTCCCCACAGTCATCATCTGTAACATATTATAGCCCCTTTGTCATTTGCAGCACATATATTGTCTATAGCAACTTGTCCTCGTCATCTGCCCAGTGTTCGTATAGTCCGTTCGTGCTCATTGTTCTCTGGGGAGAAGAAAAGCGTTGATCGGAGCCGTCTGAGGCGTGTGAAGTTCGCCTAATGGGCGCCAAGTGCCACCACCGTGAATGTTACAGATTTGTCGAGTGCAATGTTGACGTCCTCCGATGCAACTGCAGAATATATCTTGCTACGTTTCATCGACCATCCGACACGCCGCTCGCGATGCTCTTCGCTTCTGCTTAGTTTCGCGGTATCGTCCTCGACGTCCTAGCAAAAGCCGAACCGATAGTGTATGAGTTTTCTCGAAATCGGCTCGCCTAAACGCCGCCTCGCGGCCAAGTCCAATCTTCGTTAGGCATCCAGAGAAGAAGACAGATGGACGCCAGCTCAGTCTTCTGATCCATTCGGACATTCGCATGCCTCATGTGCTTCTATTCCGACCCTGTCTGTCGTGGCAAGCACTGCTTATATGGGCTCGAACGTCCGCCATTCCCCCACCTCGCTCTCCTCGGCGAGGAGCCTAGGCTGTAGGTCCCGTCTGCTAGTCGACTTCTGTTGCATCGGTGGAGCATGACGGCGACGGATCATGACCGATACGACCCGGAACGTGCTGTACCCGAGTCTGTAGCATTATTGGATGCTGCGACGAGGGCGGATGTGTCAGCGGTTAGACGAGCTCTTGGACGTGGTGCCGATGTCAATGCGGTCGACGATGCAGGGAGGACTGCAGTGACAAATGCCATTGCAGGGGACAGGTATGATAGTAACTCACTTTGTGCATTTGCTGTGGATTGCTCATAGGCATCGTGCGACTAGTTGGGAGAACGTAGACGTGTCAGACCCGTCATTCAGACTATCAGATCGTCTACTGATTCTGAGGTTGCTCCTCGATCATGTCGATATCTCGTTGAAAACGCTAAATGGTCCGGTACGGGGAGTCTCGCCTTTGTCCCTGGCGGCTTGGCTCGATCTTCGCGAGGTCGTTCAACTGTTGTTAGAGGATAGTTATGGTATGGTCTCTGTGAATGGCATGGACACGTCTGGGGCTACACCACTCATGTGTGAGTTTTTACAAGCCTGTGCAGTTTTTTTCTGGAAACCTTATGAGTCCAGCAGATGCTGCTCGGGATGGAAGGCTAGAGGTCGTGCGATGCCTGGTCAGTCATACACGGTAGCCAGTGCATTGCATGCTGATATTGGCTCTGATCACACAGCTCGCAAGCTATGCCAAGCTTGATTATAGGGACGCCAATCATCGTTCTGCTATTCAATATGCTCTCCGTCATCCTCACGTGCTATGGCTGTTCGAGAGTACCTTGTGCAGGTACAGAATGCGCGCATTTATCGTGAGTCAAACTCCAGCTACTCACGTTTGACGACCTCTCAATGTCACCAGTCCAAGATTGGTCACAACGCTATCTCTATACCCCAAGATATGCTTGATCTTATCCTGATCTCACCTCGGCATGTACTATCGAAGTCGACGCACTGTTTTTCGTACTCCTCGCAAGATCTCGCGACGTCTGCTGGGACTCTTGTACAGAGCGTGCTCGCTTCTGATTCATATCGCTTGCAAGCAATGTTGTTCTCCACCGCGCGAGCAACTATTTCCACCTCGACGTCATATCCCCCGTTCCTGGTTAATTATCCCGACTCGACTGGATGGAGCCCGATCCATTACTGTGTATCCATGGAGGAACCGACGTTGGAGATTCTCGATGCTCTCTACTTCGCCGGCGCTGATGTCGGCCTCTACACAACCTCTGGGCATGAAACCCCTTTGCATTGCCTTGCACACAGAGCGAAGCGGTCGCGGAGCGCGGAACATGCTGCATCTATCCGCTCGTTTATTCTCCATCTGGTCCGCCAGCTTCATGCTCCTCTATCAGCCAGAGATCACAACTTGAACACTTGTTTTCACGTTGCTGCTGAGCACGGCCGGAATATAGACGTTTTATCTGCTTTTCTCGCGTGCGATCCAACTGGCGAAGTCCGGAAGCTGCAAAATTCGAGTGGGTGAGTCATAGGTTCTCGTTGATGAACCGCTCGCAACTCATGAGTTGCAGGTTGACGGCGCTACAGGTTTGTGCTCCAGACATGCTTGGAGCCTTCGGTGTTGACGTAAAACCGAAACGTCCGAGCTCTTCGACATCCATCCGTACTATTAGGCCATCCACCTCGACATCCGTCCAGTCTATGCCTCCTCCCACAACTGCGGCATCTTCGATGATAAATTCTTCGTGCTCGTCCCGACTGCCTGAAAGGAAAACTATCACTGCCAAATTTGACTGCGGTCAGGCATCTCGACGAATCCTCAATAGTTTGCGATACATTTCGGACAACCTCGTTGCGGATCCGGTTGACCTACACAAATGTCGGGCAATAATGCAGGCGGCGTCGGACATGAGTGATCGATTACTCGCCCACCTGCGAATATGTGTCAGCGATGTCAGCGCCGAGCTAAGTGATGCCCGCAGGTCTTTCGAACTGGCGCATGGTCTGTATAGGGAAGTCAAGGCGCTTTCGATGGGTCGCCCTGAAGGCGGACATCTTAGGCTTGATGATGCACGAGATAGCACCGAGCACGCTAGGAGGCGTACGACCGATTCTAATGAATCCGATGCCACTGCAATCACCGAGGGTAGTTACGTGCTCGTGAGCAGGGGCAAGAAATGGCGTTCCATGACGGACCTACCAGCCTCTCTGATAGAACATCGTTCCTTCTCTGAGTTCGACTCTTTCTTGCCTCCGTTGGTCCCGCCCATCCCTGCCGTTACCTTTATGGACACTCAGAAACCCCCTGTGGAGCGAAATATACGTTTTGGTTCGCTTGAGAAGGATTCCGTATCAATTAGACGGTTGTCGAGGCAGAGGAGCACAACCTTCCCCGAGTCGACACATCCTCTTGGCAAGGATATAGCCATGACCAGCACAGCCAGACTGAAGGCATGGTTGATCCGGAAAATCAAGCCTGAAGCCCACGCCAGGATCCCTCCTGCCCGTGATCCAGGTATTTTGCAATCTCCTGAGCCAACTTCTGCAGGAACCCCCTCACGCGGAACATTCTTCTCATTCACCGACGGTGCAGAAGCTAGTCGTAGAGAGATGACCAGATATATGTCTCCGCATGGTTCTCCAAAAGCTCTCACGGTAGCATATCAAGATCTGCTGCGTATTGAAAAGTGTCTTGATGCAGTACGTTTCCTTGTGTTAGCTGTTGTAATCATTAGTAACATACTTGACAGACGGAACAATCAATCGGGAGTGCCAATACGCTTGTCTCAAAAGTGGAGATCGCATTGCAGAAGGTTTTGACGGTTAGTTCTGTCGACTTTGCTCTCACCACGAGATACTGAATAAATCGTCAAGGCTCGTCTGAAATCTCTAGAGCTCGTCGGATCACCTTATCCAAGATCGCATGCCCGAGGCTCTATTTCTGAGTCGTATGTCTTTGTGCCCAGCCTGCCTCAAGATCAAAATGACGATCAGAGATCTTCTCATTCCCCTACATCTGTACTCCAACGCCCTCGAGCACAGTCCGCTGGTGCATCCATTACAAATGAATCATGTGATGACGGGGTTGATGGGGACATCCAGGATCTGGGCGGGCTGTTGTTGAGCCGGGTGGAGGCAAGTATCGATGACGCTGAGGAGGAGGTGGAGAGAACGCTGCTTTGGCTTCGTATTGTGAAGGACATTCTACGAGGGCTTCGGACACGCACTGTATGAGCGTACCGTTACATGCCGCTCTATGTCATGCATTCTATGTTCCATGGACTATGTAGCGATACCGCATGCATATATGTGTATTTTTATGTACATTTGTTCGTACTCATACCGTGACAGGACATCTCACGACTGGAGTTGGGTGTCAATCACGAGTCAGCTTCATTCTTAGAAGGAGTGCACGTGACTATCGCGTACTTGAGGCTCGGAGCGCGTTGCCGCTGCCACCGCGTCTTGCTCTTGTGCAGACGCACGCAACTCTGCGCAACAACAACATCTTCCTCGCAGCTGTTCTCTTAAACAGCAGATCATCTTCCGAGCGCTCAGAAGTACCAGCGGGTGGCTATTGAGTTCTGGAAAATGGCACCTTTCACCTCCCCGAGCATTGTTCTCACCGGGTTCAAGGAACGAGCCGAGTCATTGACTGTGCAAGGCACACCTATTTATTGATCGATTTGCCCTCTTGTTGACATTTTAATAAAAATCTATCAGGTGATAGGCTTTACGTGGGCACAAGTACTGGGAATCTGCATATATACGCTCTCGATACCGTTGCCGGTGCGCTCGTTGGCAGTGATGCTGGCCTCTTTCATTGAAATTGTACCGAAGGCGGCACGAATCAAATAGCTAATCTTGTAGAGACAACGAAGGCCCTCAGTCGCAGAGCTCTTGAACAATTGGGCTACATCAAGGACGTGAACGCTCTCGTCGTGCTGTCTGGTCAGTGAATCTGTCGGCGACTATCGGATGGCGCTGAATTGTGCCAATAGACTCTGTTGTCACACTATATACCCTTCCAACATTGTCTTTCCCCACGCCGCTGGCAAAGACAAAAGGAGCACTATCATTCGCCATATACACCGGGGTCGTGGATACTGGACCGAGTGACAAGTCTCAACCGTTAACAGAAGGAGCGTCTGGAAAGGCGAAGGAAATTCCCACTGTGGTAACCCATCTCGCAATTGGCTGCAAGAGAAAGATCGTGCAGTACTCATGGAGAGATGGGGAGCCGCAGGAAGTGCAGGTAAGCTGCTGTATGTAAGATCAATGACATCTGCTGTAGCGTTGTCGAACAGGAAACATCGCTTCCTCATTCACCACGAGGAATTGCTTTTTTGGGACATGATGCTATTTGTTTCGGCTATGGCTCTTCTCTGTCAGAATATGCCGTTTTCTCCTTCAAGAACTCTTACATGGTTGAGGTCGTCATGCCCGTGTCCAATGCCATCTCAGGCGCAGCAATCAGCAACATGAGCATGGGTGCATTGAGCGGTCTTGGTGGATACATGAGGTTAGGTGCGAAGGCGAAGCCATGCGTAGTCAGCATCAACGACCAGGAAGCACTAGTTGCGAACAACAGTAGGTGATGTCTGCTTCAGTAGAAGGACCTCCCGTTAATCGTACCAGATAATGGCATCTTTGTTGGCGTCGAGGCTAAGGCCACAAGAAGCGCTCATATAGATTGGCCTGCGCCTCCCGACGAATTAGGCAAGACAAAGTCTCCATCATTCCGTGCTTGCCGTTGACAAAACCTTTTAGCCTTCCTCAAGCCATATATTTTCTCGCTACTGCCTTCTGGTTCCGTGCCTATGTCTCAAATTGCCGGACGCTCTGAATTAACGCCTTCGCAGCCCTCATTCGTTCCTTCGCCCGTTGTGGAGATTCGTTCTTCTCTCTCATCATCTCTCGTACAGATGCTACCCTTCCCTCCTGTACATGATGAATCCTCGCAGACGCAGCACATCGTGCGCTTGCTGACCTCGTCGCCCGCGGCGAAATCATCTGTGTTCCTCATGACAGCCCCTGCGGACCGTTCTACCGCTACGGCAGTGGGGAGTACAATATGGCAATTCCGGATGAAACCCTGGAGCGAGCAGATCGACGAACTTGTGGAGGCTGGCTCGTATTCTGATGCCTTAGCACTTGTGAACTCCATTGATGATGCTTTGCTTCCGGATAAGGTGATCCAATTCGTGCACATTGAGTAAACTCAATGCTGATACTTATGCAGGAGCCCAGACAACGACAAATCAGAGCATTACACGCGGTATCTCAATTCCGATCCGGCGAGTACGACGCCGCAATCAATGCCTTTATTGATCTGGACATAAATCCAGCAAAGGTGATTGCTCTGTACCCTGGGAATATAGCAGGAAGACTGTCCGTACCTCAAGACGACTGGATTGAGCTATTCGGCGGCCCAGCGAAACCCGCCCCGCCGGAGCTGCCATCAGTAAAGCAGCAAGCGGAAGGACATGAGGAACCTTCTCCATCGCGGGAAAGTCCTCCCAATCAGCCATCTCCTCATGGCTCTATTACTATTGTCACAACGCTAAGGGCTGGCCTAGAAGCAACTATGTCTCCTACTCGGGCTAGAGATGTAGAAACGGCTTCAACAGTCAGTAAGCGAAAAGAACGGCCGAAAGGTGAGTACCATCTCCGAAGGCTGTCAAAGCACTCATTGATTTTTGTTCAGACACATTTCATAAGTCCGTCGAGACCCTGATGCGCTACCTTTCCGACCGTCGTCCTAAAGTATCAGGGGCATTGGAAGCGCTTGGCATTACTTCCGCGCAGTCACATCAAATGTCTACTCTGTCCTCGGCTTCTATCGAGGACCTATTCAGTCAACCAAATGTGCCCCTCTCTGCTTTGACACCGGAGGAGCTCGTGCGCTTCGCTCAGATAGTGGACACAGCGCTCTTCAAGTCGTACCTACTGGTACGGCCAGGACTACTCGCGCCATTATGCAGAGTGGGTAACTGGTGTGAGGTGTCAGAAGTCGAGGAAGTCCTCCGTGCCCATGAGGCAAGTAATCACCGACCGCTCTTCCCGCTTACCTGGGCTGATGTTTTTTCGCAGAAATACTCTGAGTTGATATTCTTATATAACGGCAAGAAGATGCATACCAAGGCATTGAATCTATTACGAGAGTCAGTGCTCATTTCGTTTTCTCCTGCATTGCGCATACACCTGACGCACCGCAAGATTGAGCGAGAAAGAGACCGACATGAGAGAGAAGTTGACGCCTTCAGTTAATTATCTACAGCGTCTCGGTCCAGAGTATCTGGAGGAGATTTTTTCGTCAGCTCGCTGGATCTTCGAACAAGACGCGGACATTGCGTTCGAGGTGGGAATACGGAAATAATTGCGTAGCATCACTGCTGAGACTATGACCATGACCAGATTTTCACTTCGGAAGAGGTTGAGCTTCCACGGCAGCAAGTAGTGGGTTATCTAGAGAAGATAGATCCTCAAATCGCTGCTCGCTATATCGAATATCTTATTAAAGAACGTGGGGAAGTGGCTTCTTCGTTCCATGATCGGCTGGCGGAGATTTATCTGCGAATGACGCAGACCGCAAAGCAGGAGAGCGATGAAGGCGAGTTCGATGTCGTTTGGTTGCCCGTGTCTGTATGTGCTGAGCTGGGCAAGCAGCGCTTCGTCAAAGCATATATTCCAAGTTATTGCATTTCATCGACACCACAAATTACTACCATACCGATCGGCTGTATGCAATCTTACCTTCTGAAGGTACGTCATACGATTAGGCAGTGATCAATTCGTTACTCATATTCCCTCGCGCAACTATAGGTTTTGACGAAGCAAAAGCAGTTTTATTGGGAAAGCTGGGCCGGCATGACAACGCCTTGGAAATCTACGTTTATCGCTTGCAGGACTTCCACAGTGCCGAGGAGTATGTATTTCGGTCTGTTCAGAATTTCTCAGTCATCAACAACATACATCTTCAGGTATTGCAAACGGGTCTATCGACCGGACACTGAGACCAGCAACATCTTCCTCACCCTTCTGCGGATCTATCTACAACCCACTCAGCCGTCAAAGTCACCCTCAACGAACCTCTTGCAGCCTGCTCTGGAGCTGATCAGCAGACATAGCCCGCGCCTAGATCCTGCGGAGACCTTAAACCTTCTTCCACCTCTGGTAACAGCACAAGACGTAGAAGCGTTCCTCTGTGAAGCCCTTCGCGCGCCTATTTTTGATACAAGAGTTATTCGGGGGATCGCTAAGGCAAGACAAGACGAGGTGGCCAGGAAACTAATGTACCTCGAGACCAGGAGAGTCAAAGTCACAGACAGCCGAATGTAGGCGCTTCCCAGCAGTTGATATGCAGCAAGCTCACTGTCTCTCAGATGTCCGCAGTGCCACAAACGCATTGGACACAGCGTCATTGCTGTTCACACACCTCGGTAAGTCCTACAGTCACCGCATTGCCACTGCTGTTGCACTCACGATTCTCGGACTAGCGGCGAGGTTACACATTATCAATGCAGAGAGGCGTTCTCGCGCAAACTCAAGGAGACAAGGGTGTAGTTGGCATTATCACTTATTCATGTGTCCTTCGGTGATTTTGTGGACTTGTAGTAAATCATGCTGGTTATCCGGAACGGAATGGAATAGCGAAAGGAATATTCAGCTTCAATTTCCTAACTGAGCTTGCGTCTCATCGCAGACTGCTTTTGAGAATCGCTATCATTGAAGTTGCAACAGGGACAAATGGACGATGTGCACATGTGATCGCAATCCTGTGGGACTAACTTGGGCAGGGCTAGTCATCATCAGACGCGACATCGTTTAGGAAAAGGCAAGGTCCATCAAGCTCAATCTCCCGGGACGTGCTCTCGTCTCCAAATTTTGGGGTGAATAGTTCTAATGGGCATTTGACTGCAATAGCATCATACGGCAGCTGCTTATTCGGCTGAGGCTCGTTGCAGACCACTGGGGGACGAACGTCATCAACAGATTCCTCTTCATTCAAGTTCTGGGATGGGCAGCGATGAGCGCCCTCGATGCTCGAAGAGGTATTTCCATTTTGGTCGCAATTAGACGAAGCTTGCATACGTGAGTTGCATGGACTTGACGAGTCAGAGCATGCCTCTTTTGGCGTAATGCCGTCGGAAAGTGATGCACTAACTGAATCGGGCCTTGCACTTTGGCTCGATAAGGTTTGTGAAGTGGCATTGCTCGGTGGCTCCTGCTTGCGAGCTGTCTGCATTGAATGTGGGCCGTTGCGGGGCATGCCTTGTAGCGCTGGTGAATCGTCCTTGCAGCGGCACCAAAGAAGATGAGATGACCCAACCTGCGGAATGTACAGTGCTCACCTTCACGCTGGTCCCATGCGTAGTCAGACCCCGGAATCCAACCCCTGCTCTGTTATCGGCTGAGAACATCTCTGAGAGGTCAACAGAGTATTCTGGGTATGACCCAGCCAGGCGTTCAGAGGAGACATCGAGAACTCTATCCAGAGCGCGCCAAGGATCTGCGTTCTCGAAGAGTTCACCACCCAAAGTCTCTGAAAGGCTCTGCTCCACAACAGCTACGCTCAGCCCTTCGGCCATATCCTCGTCAGGATATGTAGAACTACGATTTGGGGTGGCAGCTGTGATCTCCGGTTCGCTCTGCGAAGTCGTTCGACATGATATATCGTTGTCAGAGTGCGAGCTATTGCCTTCATAGAGGATAACTGATTCCCGGGTTTGGTAACCGTTAGAACGAGAAACCGCTGAAGCAGGGCTATCCGAGAAGAACGGCATTCTGAAATCATCATAATCCGGCAGTGAGCGTCCCGCGTCAGACGCTTTTATCGGAGAGAATGGTTCAAGTTCGTCTTCATCTGATAATTCGTATCGCCGCCTCCCAAGCCCACCTCTGGATAAGAGCGAGGGAACCCGTAGTATGTGAGACGGACTAGAACTATCTTGCGAGCGCAGATAAGCAGACTTAGTCATATGATAGTCAGAACAAGAGCCGTCATAGCCAGTCGCCCAGCTGTCGAGGATATCAGATGCTTTCGCGTGTAGCCGTCCAGAGCTTCCAGAGACCGAATGCTGACTGGCATCCAGAGTGCTATTGACCCCAGGACTGGATTTCTCGCTCTCATAGCCATAGAACGAATACCTCGTCGGTTCGTAGTTCGAGAGCAAGTCCAGCATGACGAGCTCGTCTGCTCTTCCCGCCTCGGTCATTATATGCGCGAACTTGTCCTGCGCACCCATTGGGCTGCTGTCGAGAGGCATCGGTTCGAAGTCGGACTCCGCATGCGCCATGCGGACGAAGTCAGCTTGAGGGACGTATGTTGAGTGCCCATAATTGATGTATGCGGGACTTTCGAATGCTTCTGAAATGTGTCCTGAGTCCTCTACCATCCAACATCAATCGACATGCCCACAAAGAAGTAATAAAAAAGAATACTGTGACCTATATTATCTGAGGTTTTATGCTTCAACCAAAATTCATCGGAGTTGGCACTATGAAGGCCTTGAGAAGAAGCTCTTGTCGTCGAATTCCAGTCCCTTAATCCCATTCGTCCTGAATTTTGTTGGTGCGACTGTCCATGTGAGCTGTCGTGCGACCGATGTGACGGGCTCCCAAATATTGACTTCAAATGACAAACGCTTCAACATCACCTTATGTCCTAATAGAATAAAGCCCCAAACTACCTTGGATCTCTCTGCGTCGAGTTCTGAGAGCTCATCATTTTGATCATCGCTTCCAGGGCCGTCTTCGTCTTCGTCGTGAGGTTCCTTATTACTCCTCGGCATCAAGCCTGCAAGGTTCGGTATGGTACGTATGCGGTCCATCTCAGCCCTCATGAATATAGCTGCAGGGCGTGAATTTGCTGTATGAAATGGGATAGGCGAGCAAGAATCCGGAAGTACGCACGATGAGCCTGAGAGGTGTCCAAGGCCCTGAGGATCCTCGACGATGTGCTTCTCAGGCTTCGGTCGCTGTTACTGGACTTGATGTGCGGGGAGCTCGTGTTCTTGCTCGACATTGGTGTATGAGACAATTCAGCGAATTTTGAGGGACTTGGAGCAGCTCGCAGAGGATTGAATCGTTTGGCATGAGCAAGTGATATATCCGCAGCAGAAGTTCCAGTGCGTCCGGACGGCCTTGCGGACTTATCGTAGGATTTGCTGAGACCCTTTGTGAGAATACCGAGCTTTTGCTTTCCAAAGTAAGTGCGCTGTGCTTTTCTCGTTGCGTCCTTCGCACGTACTCTAGCAGCGTTACTGGATAGATGGCGTCGCAGCCAATATATAGCGAGCTGCGATGAAGCCATGATTGGTAACGTACCGCTTCCCTCCCATATAATTGGCACCGGCCATAACGATCAATGGGTAAAATTCTGAGGCTATATATGGTTGTGAAGAAAGCAAATCGGTGCGTATATGCGGTATAATGAGGAGGTAAAGGATAGATGTGATTGGCGACAACCGTTTGTGTCTCGCGCCTGTGGCGTTCGCACGACGCGAACGCGTCCAGGGCGCTTATATTGAGTGCGACGTCCGTGACTCCATCCTCATCTGCTTTAAATTTTGCACATTGGCTGCTCTATCTTGTTCTTCCTTGCTTAGAAGCCACTCCTAGAACCTACAATAACATTGTAATTTGCCATCGACTACTCAAAAAAGGTTCTAGGTTTCGTATGTGGCCGATTTCTGACAAGTTATAAAATCGCAATGGCGAAGTTGGTGGTTTATTTGAATGTTCATAGAGTTCTTATACCATCACAGGTATCCGTATCGAACCTCCCGATGTCCAAATAGGTCCTTTATATATGACGAGCATCGCAATGCGTATCTAAACAAACGATACAATAAGATAGATCATTCAGAGGAGGGTGCCTCCTGCTAGCCAAGTATTCTCTTCATAAGACGACGCACACGCGCGATGGGGTACTCACTAGACGCGACACTCACTAAACTTCAATGCAACATTAGATCGCAAAGAACTGCACATAATACCTCATACGACAGAAATCAGTGTTTTCGGCCGCTGGGCAATTGAGTATCACCGCAACACAGACTGTGCTATCACCGCTTCGCGGGACGGTCGAGGATATCGAGGAGGCCCTTGAACACGCGAACGGCCTCTATACCTCCTGTCCTCCGTCCCTCAGTGAAGGAGGTATTTTTTACCTGTCTAGGGGAGACAACGCGAACGGCTATTTAATGCTGAAATTTTGCCACCGTGACATGCCACACAGTGATAATTTCAATGGGTAAACAACAGTTTGAGTATATATTGGCAATCT